ATAATAACAATAACAATAATACTAATACTAATAATACTACTACTACTACTACTACTACTAATAATAATAATAATAAAAGACCGCTAGACTGTTAGGTGTGACATCACATGCGCGCGCGCACCTCTATGTTCTTCTCACGCGCTCTGTCATCGGCCACGCGCCTGCGCGACCCCATGACCACCCGTGACGTCAGACAGCAGCATGGCGGCCAAGGTGACTCCGGCGACTCCGCATTTGACTGAAAAATTGCGTTTTCATTTCTTAGCTGTCGACTTTTAAATACAGTTGCTGACTTTTAACGGCAGAAAGGCTAATAGATGCGTAAATGGGTGGAGTAGAGACAATGATAAACGTTTTTAACGGAGCGGCGCGAGCATCACTGAGCTTATCACTAACGTTACACTCCCGCTGAGACTGACTGAATTTAGTGTCTGAGAGGATCATAAAACCATACAAAATAGTAGAATTGTGTATTAAACAGCATTAATCTGCCCTATAGCGGGCTTTTGTCTTGTTAGAGATTGGGTTTGTTTATAAAATGTACTGTGTGGGCGAAATTGTGGTTATTTTACTCTACAGAGACTTCATGTGTGTTTGTGTGGAGTAATTACTGACTTGTTATTTTGTGTTTTGTTAAAACTAGGTTCTTTTTGTTTTGCGTACATTATGTGAAAGGTCTGTGTGCCAGAAAGTCCCAATAATGTTAAATGCGCTCTCAAAACCGCAAAGATCGTTTGATATTTAAATGAGCATTTAGAAATAAATGTAGTTCTGAACACTAGACTAACGTTAGGTCTCGTCTCTCAGTAAAACCTTGTCATCTTTGGACTCGGTGAAAAACCTTTAATAGATGCAGAAAGAGCTCTAAAACAAGCAATGCATTTCGCTAAATATTGTGGTGGTTTTGTGGCTATAATTATAGAGCATAGCTCTTAAGATTCACAATTCATCTCTATAGAAATCAAGAAACCTTATTGTTATTCTGTGCTGTTGTTGTTTTGCAGGTGCAGTTAACCAAAAGGGCCGACCCTAATGAGCTAAAGGGCATCTTTCAAAAGGTAAGTTTAAACAACAGAAAAGCTTCATTTTGGTGTAATATCAGGTTATGATGTTTTTTAGTTTCATCCTTTACACTGTAGTCAATTCCAATGAGAAACCAGGTCTGCAACTTTAGAAGCCAGTGCAGATAGTGTCATGACTTTGGCCTGTCATTAGATCTTTATTCCTTAGTGACGCTGCATTTTTAATTGTCACTCTATTGTCTTCACCTTTTTCCCCAAAGCAACTCAAAGAGAAACTCACATGCTTGGGAAAAAGTCTAGTGTGTGTGTGTTTGTGGGAAAACAGTTTATTGTGTGTATTCTTCATTTTCAAGCATGAATAGGGAAAATCTAATCTCCCTCCCTCATTAAATGTCAGCCAGGGCTTTTATATTGGTGTAGTGATTTGTGATTTCCGCCGGTGAGATCTTGTGCGTCTTTCAGCTGAGAGTAGTTGTTTCTTTGGCTGTGTTGGTTCGCTTTGGTGTCTGGTAACTCGGCGACTTGCGTGCGATGTGGCTCTATTAATAGGACTCAAGCGTGTGAGATGGATGTTTGGAGGAAGACCTGAATGTCAGGGCAGTAGTTGGATGAGTGAAGAATGTCTCGATAAGGTCAGAGGACATCTCGCTTTAGTTTTTTGTGTCCTGCTTAGCTGCTGCTGATCAAAACTGGGAAAATACACAACTCACGTGGCACATGAATATTGATTGTCACCTTTGCCCATTTGTCCAACTAGGCAGAGGTTGGTACTTGGTAAATAAATACAGTTTCAGCTTGCATATTGCCAACACAGTTGTTTGGAAGAAAGCCGGTGTTGTTTTACACAACCGACTACTTTTTATTTTCTTAAATGTCTGCATGCTTAATGACATTGATTTTCAGGTTCTTCTTTATGCAAATAAATCATACTAAGTGCCCTACAAATGAGGATAATACAAATGAAGAGTTCATTTGCAAAAACGGATAACTCCGTTTTTAAAAATGTTCAAAAATCTTTTTTTAAATTTTTTTATCCTGCATTCCAATTAATATCAATCAAACTGCAGTTGGGTTGTTTTGATTCAATAATAATAATAATACAAATACAGCTAACTAAAACAATAAAAACATTATAACACAATAAAAAACATGATTTAAGAAAATTAATAAAAACGGAGTTATCTGTATTTGCAAATAAACTCTTCAAATGCACATTTAATCATGCTTTACATCCAACACAGATGCTGTGACTGTGTTTGTGTTGTTTTTCCTCAGTATGCCAGTGTGGTGGATAAGGATGGAGAGCGGTACATGACACCCAATGATTTTGTGCAGAAGTTTTTGGGCCTCCACACACAGCTCCACTACAACCCTAAAACTGTGCAGCTGCTCGCCGGTGTGGCAGATACTACAAAAGATGGGTGAGACAAACATCTTGTTTTTTGTCTCTTTTTCTGTGTTTTAATTATTGATGGTTTGATATGAAGCCTAAACCTCAGCTCAGATCTAGAAATTCACCCACTTTCATGAGATTTTGCTTTTTTTTTTTTTGCAGTAGCAGCCAGATGCATATGGCAAAATTTCTGTATTGCACATACACTATTGCTCAAACATTTGGGTCGGTAAGATTTTTTTCAAAGAAGGAGGCTGTATTTATTTGATCAGAAATACAGTAAAAACAGTAATATTGTGAAATATTGTTACAATTTAAAATAGCTAAAATAAATATTATTGCAATAAAAATATATTGTAAGATGCAATTCATTTCTGTACAAAGCTGAATCTTCAGCATCATTACTCCAGTCTTCAGTGTCACAAGATCCTTCAGAAATCATTCTAATATGCTGATTTGCTGCTCAAGAGCAATGTGTGTGAAAGAGATTGCAGAATGACCATAGGTTTGTGTTTTCAGTGTTTCTTCTATTTATTTTTTGTCCATTCAGACTGATCTCGTTCCAAGAGTTTCTGGCCTTTGAGTCGGTGCTGTGTGTGCCTGATGCCCTCTTCATCGTGGCCTTCCAGCTATTTGACAAGACGGGCACTGGATGTGTGTCCTTCGGTGAGAACAGTATTGACTGTATATAAATGTTCAGCCTTATTTAAAATGGACTTCTGTGTTTGTACATGCTGACATCAAACTCCATTGTAATCAGTTCAAGAGTTTAGAATTTGTGTGGTGTATGGAGATTACTATGTAGGCCATTCCAGTTAATCCACCTTTTCATTTAATGCTGCCTACAGTATGTAGATGGCAAGGCAGCTCGCAGTGTTTTTATTCCCTTTACAGAGTCAGCTGATCGTAATGTAGTTATGCTAAACAAACAAACAGCTTAACCTTGAACACAGAGACATTCATTCATGCACATGTTCACGAGTTCAGAGAACCTTTAAAACACTGTCAGTAATGTTGCAACGCCCGTTATGTTCTTCAGGAGTGTAAATCTGAGCCTATCCGTGTGTTTACAGAGAACGTGCGTGATATCTTCAGCCAGACCACCGTGCACCACCACATCCCCTTCAACTGGGACTGCGAGTTCATCCGCTTGCATTTCGGCAATGACAGAAAAAAAAGTCTCAGCTACCTGGAGTTCACCCAATTCCTGCAGGTACCACACCCAAACAGTTATACACCCTCAGAGTTATGTAAATATCATATTACATTTTTCTTGTTGTTATAAAATATTTGATACCTTAAAGGGGTCAGCGGATGCGACATGCACTTTTACAAGTTGTTTGAACTGAAATGTGTGTTGGCAGTATGTGTACACAACCACCCTGTTATGATAAAGATCCACCCAGTGTTTTTTTTTTATCTCGTTAAATCATTTCCCCTTTCTCAAATCAAGCCGTTCTCAGATGCCTGTCTGTGTGACGTCACACAGACCAAGGCCGCTCCCACGATTGTTTGATTGACAGTGGCGTTTTACCTTAGACCCGCCCTGAGTGAGCTGTCATCAGTCCGCCATTGTTTCACCGCCGGAGCAGATGTAGACAAGAATGACTCCTAAGTGACTGAGGTGTTCTGTTGTTGGATGTAATAATGAACATAGCAGTCGTCATTTACTCCCGACATCTGAGCCGCTGAA